GGAAATAGATATTTGGTCTCCAACCCCATGTCCTGGGGTCAAGATACAACTCCTAAAATCCTTAGACTCTCCAAAGTGATGTTTCTTTTGTAGCTGACGATTGGCTGATTGTTGGTAGCTCCTAGGGAGCTTCAGGATGGGGGCTGGTCAGCAGAAAAGTCAAGGCAGAATTAGAGGGTCAAGACTTCCAGCCTCACCTCCCAACCTCTGAGGAGAGGAGAGGGGCTGCAGGTTAAGCTGATCACCAATGGCCAGTGGTTTAATCAATCATGCCTACATAATGAAGCCTCCATAAAAAACCCAAAAGGGTGGGGTTTGGAAAGTTTCTAGATAGCTGAACACATGGAGATTCCTGGAGGGCACAGAAGCTCTGAGCCCCTTCTCCCATTCTTTGACCTATGCATTTCTTCATAGAAATATCTTCTATGATCTCCTTTATAAAAACCAGTAAATGTAAATATTTCCCTGAATTCTGTGAGCTGCTCTAGCAAATCAATCAAATCCAAAGAGTGGGTCATGGAAACCCCAACGTGAAGCTTGTTTGTCAGAAGTTCCAGGGGCCCAGACTTGTACGTGGTGTCTGAAGGCGGAGCAGTTTTGGGGATTGAGCCCTCAAACTGTGGAATCTGATGCTATCTCCAGGTGGATAGTATTGGAATTGAATTGGAGGGCACCTAGCTTGTGTCCACTGCAGAACTGATTGCTTGCCTATTGTGTGGGGAGAAATGCCACAGAAATTTAGTCACAGAACTCTTTTGTATTCATTGTCGTTGTGGTGTGAGAGCAGAAGAAACAGTTTGAGTTTTTTCCTAACATCATGTGTATGAAGAATTTTTGTTGCTAGTGCAATTTTCATGTAATGCAAATCATTTTCTACACCCTTTGACATGGGAGTGAAACATCTGTCTCTCTTTCAGTCATCCCCAAAGTATTTTGCTGTCTTAGAAAATTATCTGAAGGTCAGTTCTGACTGCTCTATCCCTAAAAATCTGTTGTATATCTGACAGCATGCAGAGTTTTAGACAAAATCACTAATGCTCACTAAAAAAATACTAAGTTACTGTGGATTGCAAGGCTCTTTGATAGTGTTATAAATGAGGGAGTTTATGAATCTTTGTGGTTCTACCAAGAACAACAGGATTTAAAACCCTAAACTAAAATCCACCGAAAGGATCAAATGCACTGTCAATGTTGAGCCAATGAAAGTGATCATATCAAATATGGAAAATCCCTGAATTAAAAAAATGTAAGGTGCTGTTCAGAAGTATTTTTTTTCATATATCATTTTGAGATTGTTAGTATTCTTGTCCTATATCTAAATAGGCATATGGACAATCACAGTTTTCATATAACAATACAAATTCCAAAGAAGAAAAAGACAAAAGGGGAACATTGAGAATGTATCTAGTTTGAGTATTTTTAAAAAATGATGTAAATATTATCTACCTTAGGATCAGGGACATTGTCCTTAGGAAGCCTATGAATAATATATGGAATTTTATATCAATATATTTCACATTCAGTGCTATGTAGAAAAAACAAACTGTTTTTCCTCTGCTTTCACACCAAATCAGCACAGAATACTTCTGTGACAGATGCCCCACGTATCAAGCATGCAATCAGTTCTGTAGTAGACACCACCTGAGTATTCTCTCATCCAGTTCAATTTCTGCAGTATCTACCTGGAGATAGCATCAGATCCCTCAGGGTGAGGCTCATTCTCCACTTCCAACCCCAATGGCAAGCTCGAGGTTATTTTGCCTGTACTTCTGACGCACCGGCTACAAATTGGAGTTCCCACGCCCTCCTTCTTGGGTTCTAGAGCAGCTCGCAGAACTCATGGAAACACTTATGTTTGTTAGTTTATTGTAAAGGATATTACAAAGGACACAGATGAAGAGACTCATAGGACAAGGCATGTGGGAAGGGCTACGGAGCTTCCCTGCCCTGCCCAGGCATGCCACCCTCTGGAAACCTCCACATGTTTGGCTGTCTGGAAGTTCTCTACTCCATCCTCTCAGGCTCTGCCTATCCAATGCAGACATCATTGGATAGGCATGATGGAAGCATAGACAACCATGCAGACATGTGATTGGACAAAAAGAATTTGATTTAACATTAGTAGACTGAATGGGGAAACCCAGAGAAGCCTGTCTGTTCAGATTCTTTTTGCATTCTCTGTGTAGCATTTCTTATTCCAGTGTATGGGGCAGAGCCCTTTCTGAAATGAGGGTCTTATGACCAACAATTCAATAAGGTAGGTCAGAGAATTTCTTTATGGCCAACTCCAAGACAGAAATGGAGGGTAAGATTAGAGTACATTTTTAGTTTCTATGGCGTGTCTTAGGTGGGAAAACTAAGCAGGTGAAAGGAGGACAGGAAAAGAGAGAGATTTTCTGCAGCCTGCTTCCGAGGCCTAAAGCACCCCAACATTATAAGAAAAGACTGTCTTTCATCCTTATCACTTTGAAGCTGCTCCAAAGCTGCTTCAGAAACCAAGGACAGAAGGCCAAATACTTTAACAAAAGGTATGCTTATTGTTTTAGTCACTTAGAAAATAATAAGGGCTATGGAAGTTATAAGCCAAGAACCATGGGCGAAAATACACACACACACACACACACACACACAGACACACACACACACACGTGTGAGCATGCACACACGTATACAAGTACTCTTGAAATCCTGTCTTAAAATGTTATTATTTAATTATATTATGTCTTTAAAATGGAGTGTACTGCTCATGAGTACTGATGAATTAGCAGTAGCTCTTAGTTGAAAGTCTTCGCCTGGTATGCAGGAATGGTTTTACCATTCAACGTTTCTCTACCCTGTTCTGTCCTCCACTACTCTATGTGGTTTGCATCAGCAGCCTCCCTTACCCTCTGACTTTTAATTAGTTGACTTCAGCTACTAGAAAGAACCTGCCAAACATCCAGAAAACAGGTCGAAGGGAAGTCAAAACATTTATTTTCCCACTCTGTGTCTCAATGTAAGAGTAGCCTTGAGCTAGCCATATCCCTCCATGAGTGGTCATAACTCCTTTCGGGTTATGGTCTTCATCGAGCCCTGAGCTTTGTTCCCCTTTAGTCTAGAGATAGTGTGCAGAGAAGATTTAACCTAGAAGGCCTGACTGCTTACTTTTGGAAAGGCCTGCTTATAAAGTTAGCCTTTGGCTTGCATCTGGGAACTTGGATTTCCTGAGGCTCCTTGCCATGTCCAGAACTGATAAGAGTGGATCACTGTATGTAAACTTTTGTACGAACTATATGGTTTATGTATAACACCTGCTTTTCCTCTGCGAGTCTGGAATTTGAGTACATGCCAGACAGAGGCTGCCTATATGAACAGCCCCCGATAAAAACCTTGGGCACTGAGTTTCTAATGACTTTCCCTGATTGGCAACACTTCATGAACATTTTAACAATGCGTTTCTGGGGGGATTAAGCATGTTCTGTGAGACTCTACTGGAAAAGGATTCTTGGAAGCTTGTGCCTGGTTTCCCCTGGACTTCACCAACATTCCTTTTCCCTTTGTTGATGAATTCTGTAAGCTTTTGATGTAATAAATCTTAGCTATAAGTAGGACTGTATGATGAGTCCTGTCAGTCTTCCTAATAAACCATTGAATAATAAACCAGGGTGCAAGGTGGTCTCAAGGACACCTGACATAAATAGTAGAAGAACTTTGCTGTTTCCATACTCCGTGCACCATTTTCCCCACCCCTTTGAAAATAGTTTCTTTATTAAGCTCTTCCCATACTTTCTTCTTTCTCCTAAGACCCTGAATAAGTTACTCAGTGACTGTAGGTATTATATATTTCAAAGTAGTTAAAAGAGAACTTGGAATGTTCCCAACATATAGAAATGATAAATACTCAAGGCCATAGATACCTCAAATACTATGACTTGATCATTACATGTTTTATGCATGCAACAAAATGTCATATGTACCCCATGAATATGTAAAATATTATGTATCAATAAAAAATTTAAAAATTGATAATTATTTGATGGATTCATTTCTGTACATGATTTTAAAATATTTCTTGACAAAAAGATTAAGGGTTTACAAAATAAGATAACACAGCAACTTGTACCCTTGAAATCTTATTTGATGAGAATGTTACGCTTCTCTAAAGGGTTGGAGGATTATACATCTTGTTTAAACCAGGAGGGGTAAATAAACTGGTAGTTGATTGTCCTTAAGAAATATTTAGGTATTTTTTTTTCCTTTACCTTTGTATATTCTGGGGGAAATAAAAGAAAGCTTACTCTCAAAAATAAGAAGACTAAGGAAAATTTACAGTGACAGAAAACAATGTTTTCATGGTATATATTTATATTATAAAAAATGTCATAAAGTAGTTAGATGAATGTTCTTATATGCCTGATAAGTAATTATACTACATCTTAAAAATACTTCTAACAGGTGTTGGTGTATTTTCATAGTATATTCAAATTGTTTCTTGATAATATTTAAATATTTTAACATCCATAGCTATTTATATCACCAAATATTCTTTCTTTTACACTGTGCTCTGTGAAGCAAGATAAGGCATTGTGCTTAATGGAATGGAAAACTTCCTCTTAAAAATCCAAAAATTATGCTACTTAAATTTTAAGTTTCAATGGAACTTATGTCAAATCTTAAATTAATTAAGTAGAAAATAAATGTTATGCATCCTTGGATGGTTTCTTAAAAAAAAAAGGCAAAGAAAGAAATGCTTAATGTAAACTATTGTGGTTTCTTCCCCCATCTATATTTATGTCAGCTGCTTTGACCTACAGATTTGTTTTATGCTTATAGGTAAAAAGCTTTGTTTTAGAGAACTCATGATGCATGTCCCTTGTTTATTAATGTCTTGGTAAACCACATGTCTTCTTGATAAAGTAATCCTGAATCAGAAAGACCTCTTTGCTGGATATCTTACTTCAGTTTACTTGTGTGTTTATTGATTGTTTTTACTAATAAATGCTCTCTCCATTGTAATTTAGCTCCATCCCAGCAACCTCCACCCAGAGGACAAGTTCAAAGTTCTTCTGCTATCAGTCTCTTCTGGAGTCCACCTGATTCTCCAAATGCCCACTGGCTTGCTTACAGTTTACTCAGGGATGGTTTTGAAATCTACACAACTGAAGATCAATATCCATACAGTGAGTTTAAGGGTTTGGCAATAAAAAGATAATATTCTGAGAAATGCTACTTTAGTTAAGTTCTTTGACATTGATGATAAATGCTGTTATGGTTTCCTCTTTCTAGCAGAGTGTTTCCAGCAGAGAGAGAATTACAAATCTCACTAGTAATCAAAGAAATGCAATACAAATGAGATGTGTATTATTTGATAAACACTAATGCTTATCAAATTCCCAAAGATGAAAAAAAAATGACCCCATGCAGCATTGGTGAGGATGTAGGGAAGCTGGAACATTCATAAACTTCTGGGGTATCTGTGTGAGTTCACTGATGTAACTTCATGTCCAAAAAATTGTTAAAATGTATGAAAAACCCTTTTTGCATACTATTTGACTAAGCAAACCTACTCCAGGAAGTTTATCTCAAGTGAATTACGACTGTAAATGGACTCAAAATCACAAAAGCTATCCATACCTATATATACCACTTGTACTATTAAAACATTGAAAATGATTCAGATGTTCAACAGTTCTTCAGTAAATCATAATATATGGCATAAAAGAATCTTCATACATTGTTAAATAAATTGGAGGCTATGTTAGCCTATAAAATGATATCTTAATTCAAATATGAATGAAAGGAAAATGTTCACGACATATTGTTTAAGGTAACTGAAAGATATTAAAATAATCTGAATTATAATATTTTAATTTAAAAATACTGGAAGACATAACAAATGAATCTATAATTTTTTTCTGGTTGAAAATATTACAAATGTTTACCAAATATTTCTATTATAATAGATTCAACTTTTAAAATTCTCAGGCTAAACAAGGAACTTTTAACCTAGAAGTAAAATACCAAGCAAATAGTGTAATTTTATGCATACATTGCTATTTCCACAGAGACAGACACAGCAACATGAACTTAAATTAAAAGACTATGAAGAAGCCATGAAGGCTATGTTTGCATCTGTACATTTATGAAGATTTTATAGGAGCTTGCAGAAATCAAACTATTGGGATCCATTTCTTTAAAAAAAAAATTTACTCAGATGTTTTAGATACAGTTTCCCTAAAGACAGGATAAAGAAATAGGAATTTTTACATTCTTCCGGCTCTGTCTTCTCTGATTTTGCTTCTAGTCATGTTTGGCTATAAGCTAGTTTAAGAAACTAGTTTAAGACACATTGGAACAGTAATTCCAATTCAACTTTCTATTTTGTTGTCTTTGTTTAATACCCAATTTTTCCAATTCTACTTTAACATGCGTAATTAGTAAGCAAAGTGTGTAAAGCTATATCAAAACACCGAAATTCCATAACCTTTCTAGAACAGAGGGAGGATGCCTTTTAACATATTGATTGACTTTAAAACTCCTGCATTGTACACAGTTTTATTTGGTATATATTATACTGAGTAACATTTTGCACCTAATTCCGCATGGTTTGCATCTAGCTTATCATGTCCACCACTTTCTCGTAACTGCAAATGTCTCTTCAGTATTCCAAGTCTTCTTTGAAGTTAATGGAAACTCTGAACTTCATGATGCAGATTGCAAAGGGAAATGAACATCTGTCTACATCTGCCATGTTGGCAAAGCATTATAAAAACCTGCTACTAGAATGTTTATTTTCTTCCAAATATCAGCATGATCCAGGTGTCCTGAAACTTAAACTTTTGTGATAGAGGAAGAAAGGAGTTATAAAAATATTGAAAATGATTTTGAAGATGACAGTACCACTGGTTGAATTATTTCTGAAGTTGAGAATTAGGGTCACCCTATTTTCCATATGGCTTAATGTTCGATAGGAAAATTAAACTTAAAACTATCAATGGCATTATTCAATCTGGAGGCATGTTTTCTATAGTATAGTAACATTATGATTTATTTTATAGAACCTTACATATCGGTATAACACTCTGGCTCTTTTTCATGATTGCACTAACATGAAATCCAAATAACAGTTTCTTACATAATAAATGTGTATTCATTCACTAATCAGACATTTATATAATCCTATTAAACAAGGTATTATTTCCTGAAACCTTATTTTTCATTAAAAAATGCCACTTCTGGCATTTCTTGACAATCACTATAATTAATGATGTGAAAATTATCTGCATGATGGCATTTGAACAGTAAGAACAATTGGTTAGCACTGTCAGAACTTCATATCATTCTAATAATACCTTCATGTTTATTACTCTATTTCCAGTGCATGGCTAGCATGTATAATACAAAAAGGAAACACTATTTATGTGCAGCTGAATGAACACAAATCTTTGGGTTAAATAAAGGCATTAGGAATTATAGGTGGAGAATCACTGAACTTTTCAAAGAAAATTAATAGTGTTGTCTTCCAAGCAAGTTTGATCATTTGGTTGAGACCATTATAGAATTCTTTGTTAGAGTGGAAACTTTTCCTAGCTGACCTAGTGTACTATGGGATTCTCTAGGACAATATTTTCATCATAGGATCATGATCTACTGGTGTACCATCTTTAAAGCTTTCAAACTATTTGTTTTTAATAATAGCACACTAATAATGGTGGAATAGTTTTAAAGTTTCTGAATAATTAACTTTTTAAAAATAGGATACAGCCAGGCATGGTGACTCATGCCTGTAATCCTAGCACTCTGGGAGCCCAAGGTAGGATCACTTGAGGCCAGGAGTTTGAGACTAGCCTGAGCAACACAGTGAGACCCTGTCTCTACAAAAAATAGAAAGCTTAGTCAGGTGTGCTGGCATGAGCTGGTAGTCCCAGCTATTCAGGAGGCTGAGCCAGGAAAATCACTTGAGCCCAGGAGTTTGAGGTTGCAGTGAGCTATGATGACACCACTGCATTCTAGCCCAGGCAACAGAGTGAGACAGTGTCTCTAAATAAATGAATAAATAAATAAAATAATAGGGTATATTTTTATGCTTTACTTAAGGTATGAAAATTTAAGATATATTCAGTGGTTTTCTTAAATAATATTTCACTTATTTGCATCCTGATATGTTTTCAGAAATAGAGGAGAAAAGTATAGAGGTCAAGTTAACACTTTGGGAATTGTACATAATCAGCACCTAATATTATCCCTACTGTAGCCTCAATTTGTGTTGCTCATAGGTATCTTAGGTATCATGGGTGTGAAGAGAACAGTTATAGGAGGAAATAGCACTGTTTTGTTAGTGTTGCAATTTTAGGAGTGGTCAGTAAATCATATTGTTTTTTTTTTTCCTGTGTAAGTTTTGATGAAAAGGAGTATTAGATACAATAGGCAGATGGAATTTAAAAATAAAAATCATCTTCATTACTGATGAAAGCCAGATTAGAGAATACATGCTCTTTCCTGCAGAGAGACAGATTAGAAGAGAGAAAAATCAATGGGCTGATCTGAGCATGCTTTGCTCTCCCCTCCCACGCTGCCCTCGCCCAAATTCACAGATGAATTGTTTCTCCTTTGGGATGCCATGAGTGGGGAGATAGCCTTTAAATGTCCCTCTAGAGAAATCCTGTCACAGGGAAACTAGAGTATGATTTTTTCTACACGTAACAATTGCTTATATCACTTAGAGACATTGACATACTTTTAGAGTTTTATTTATTTAATTTATTCCAAAATATTAGTGGGGGTACAAATGTTTTTGTTACATGGATGGCTTGTATGATGATTAAATCAGGGCTTTTGGTATGCTCGTCACTTGAATAACGCTCAGTGTCCCAAGTAGATAAGTTTTTACCCCTCACTCCTTACCTGCTTCCCCACTTCTTGCTTTCCAATGTCCTTTACATCTCTTTGTGCCCATGTGTGCCCACCATTTAGCTCCCAATTCTTAGAGAGTTACACGTGGTGTTTGTTTTTCCATTCCTGAAATGCTTCATGTAGGATAATGGTCTCCAGTTTCATCCAAGTTGCTGGAAAAGACATTATTCCATTCCTTTTTATGGCTCAGTAGTACTCCATAGTATATAAATATACACACATACATATCACAGTTTCTTTATCCACTCATGAATTGATGGGCAAGTACTTAGGTCAATTCCACATTTTGAAATTGTGAATTTTGCTGCAGTAAGCATTTGAGTGCAGGTGACTTTTTGATAAAATGACTTTTCCTCAGGGTAGGTACCTAGTACTGGATTAAATGGTAAGTCTACATTCATTTCTTTGAGGAATCTTCATGCTGTTTTCCATAGAGGTTGTACTAATTTGTAGTCTCACCAACAGTGTATAAATGTTCCTTGCTCTCTGCATCCATACCAGCATCTATTGTTTTTTTGAGTTTTTAGTAATGGCCATTCTGACAGGGGTAAGGTGGTGTCTCATTATAGTTTTAATTTTCATTTCCCTGATGATTAGTGATGTTGAGTATTTTTTCATATGTTTACTGGCCATATGTCTATATTTTTTGAAAAACTTCTCCTGTTTTTTGCCCACTTTTTAATGGGGTTGTTTCTTTTTTTCTAACAGATTTATTCGAGTTCTTTGTAGATTCTAGATATTAGCCCTTTATCGGATGTATAGGTTGTGAATATTTTCTACCATTCTGTAAGTTATCTATTTACTATGCTGATCACTTCCTTAGCTGTACAAATCTTTTTAATTTAATTATGCCCCATTTATTTAGTTGTGTTATTGCTGCGTTTGCCTATGGGCTCTTAGTCATAAATTTTTTAACTAGGGCAATGTCTAGAAGAGTTTTTCCTATGTTTTGTTCTAGAATTTGTATGGTTTCAGATCTTACATTTAAGTCTTATCCATCTTGAATTAATTTTTGTATATGGCAAGAAATAGTGGTCTTGTTTCTTTCTTCTTCATGTGGCTATCCAGTTTTCCCAGCACCATTTATTGAATACGGCTTCCTTTCCCCAGTGTAGGTTGTCGAAGGTGAGTTGGTTGTTGGTAGATGGTTTTATTTCCGGGTTTTCTTTCTGTTCCATTGATCTGTGTCTCTACTTTTATACCAGTACTGTGCTGTTTTGGTTACTACAGCCTTATAGAATTATTTGGCTTCAGGTAATGTGATGCCTTCAGATTTGTTTTTTGTGCTTAAGATTCCTTTGGCTATTTGGGCTCTTTCTTGGTTCGAAATGAAGTTTAGGATTATTTTTTCTAGGTTTGTGAAATAAGACATTGGTATTTTGATGGGGATTGTGTTGAATCTGTAAATCACTTTGGGCAGTATGGATATTTTAATAATGTTGATTCTACCAATCCATGAGCATGGGATGTTTTTCTCACTTGTTTGTATCATCTACGATTTATTTCATCAGTGTTTTGCAGTTCTCCTTGTAGAGATTGTTCACCTCATTGGTTAAGTATATTCCTAGGTATTTTATTTTCTTTGTAGCTATTGTGAATGGCATTCTCATGACATCAATTTCTGATGCATGAAGCTGGTGAACACGTATTCACTCTCAGGTTGGTCAGGTCCTTGTGAACATTCTGCTATTTTAATGCTCCCTAGGGTATTGATTTTGCTGGGAATTTTCTGAGATTTTTTTTTCCTATGTCCGACATCTAACTTTTGGTCCTCTTAAAGGTTGGGGAGTCTGTCACCATGTCCCAGCCATAGAAGTTCCCTTAGTATAGGCCTACTGTCTCTCAATACAGCATCCTCAGCATTCAAGAAACGAAGAAACCCTGTGGAATAAGATCAGAGCCTGAATGCTCCACTATTCTACTGTAAGCATGTTAATATGCTGGGACATTCATGTTGATTTGGGTGACCCTGCATAATAGAACCCTCCTCTCTCCTACCACATACACACAGTCCCATGAGGGAGCAGGCAGCAGCCACTCTGGCATTTGTATGTTTTATGATCCTACAGTGTATTTGCTGTCCCTTTAGAGAATGAGAAGTTTCCAGCACATGCCCGATTATGTCCACTCCCTGTCTTTTTTTTTTTAACCTCCGCTTTCTCTACCTTCTTATCTCTGCCCTTACAATCCTGCTTATCTAGAACGTCTCTTGTGTATATTCCCCATTGCTCATAACAAATGTCTCAAAAAGTTAGCAGCTTAAAAATATGAACATTTATATTTTCATACAGTTTTTATAGGTCAGAAAATCAGGAAAGGTTTCAGTGATGTTGGCCAGGTAACAGATTGGGCCATGGGTGGTAGTTTGCTTACCCTTAGTTTAGTGCATTCGCATTTAACAAGTAAACCAATTCCACAGAGGAAACATAGTTATTGCTGTTTTAGAGAGTTGCAAAAACTTTCTCTTAAACTTTCTATCCAAAGGATACTATAAAGAACAAAACAAGAACTAAAACAAACTTCTAAATATTATTTATTAAAATGGCACTTTTCTTATGTTATACCAAATAATAAAAGTAATGAATATTTGCTTTATTTAAATTTTAAAAATATTAAACATAATCTGATTCTAAAGAATAGATTGGTATAGTTTATATACTTAAATAATACAATTGGAAAGTAGTTAAAAATGATTCTTTACCAATTTGTAGAATGTAACTATTATCTTTTATTTCTTTTCATTTCAGGTATTCAACACTTCTTAGACACTGACCTGTCTCCATATACCTCGTATTCCTATTACATCAAGACCACCAATGTGCATGGTTCAACAAGGAGTGTAGCTGTCACTTACAGGACAAAACCAGGGGTCCCAGAGGGAAACTTGACCTTGAGTTATATCATTCCTATCAGCTCAGACTCTGTGACACTTACCTGGACTGCACTTTCAAATCATTCTGGTCCTATAGAGAAATATATTTTGTCCTGTGTTCCTCTGGCTGGCAGTCAGCCCTGTGTTCCCTACGAAGGTCGTGAAACCTCAGCTACCATCTGGAATCTGGTTCCATTCACCAAGTACTATTTTTCTGTACAGGCGTGTACTAGTGGGGGTTGTTTACATAGCTCGCCTATTGCAGTGACCACAGCCCAGGCCCCTCCCCGAAGGCTGAGTCCACCTGAGGTACAGAAAATCAGCGCTACAGAACTTCATGTGGAATGGTCCCCACCAATGGAGCCAAATGGTAAGAATTCAAGGCCTAGATTTCCCCTCTTGGGTAAGACGTGAATGAGAATCGAGACATTTGGATTTGTGCAATAAGAGTCTGGCTATTGTATTCATTTTTATAACTGTATAATATAATAATTGAGAAACATTTTCTAAAGATATAAGATACTGTTTGTCCTGGTTAGTGAAACAAGTATATTTCCTCTAATCTAATAACAAATTCCATTCAATTAAATTGTTCCTTGAAAGGCTAATATTATCTTTGCTCTTAATGACATCTGCCATAACACAAATGATGTTTATAATTTGAAACTCACTTGTGAAATGCATTATATTTGACTGTGTCACAAGTTAGGGCACCCATAAGCAGTAAATTTTCTCTTTTAAGCAAGAAAAAGATATAAAATAATACAAAAAAATGTATATAGGCTAGCTGACTCCATTAAGTTAATTTTTGTGTTCATACAATTGAACCCTTGGTTATACAGGCCAGACACACATTCATAGATTTTTAATAATTTATATCAAGTACATATTATAACAAAACCTTTCCTTAGATTTTTAAGTTATGTGGTAAAACTGGATAGAAACTAACTATATTATCTGTACAGACAAGGCTTCTGTTAAATAGAGAATTAAATTCGAATCCTGAAATTTTAAAACATACAAATTGGAGGTACAAGAATCAGATTCCCAAAAGGAACTAGCTATTCTTGATAGAAATTATGACCATTTATCATAGAAAAGATTGAATTTACTTGTGATAAATTATAATTATTTCATCTCTATACACTGCCCCTTTTGGTTTGTTTTTCTCATGAATATACCTTTAATAGTATTTCATACATTCATTTATCCATCAGTTTGTTGTCTTTTATAAGAACCTATCATCTAGATAACTAAATTACTGCATCAGGATTACTGAAAAAAATTGACCAGTAATCTAGTTAGAAGAATAACAAAAATCCAGCACTCTAACTGACCTGTTCTCCTGCTACCCCCAAAATAGCCTCTTTGTCTGGTAAGTCACCTTGGTTCACTGTTTAACTTCTCCAGGAATAATTATAAGATATGAACTATACATGAAGAGATTGAGATCTACTGAAGAAACCATTTCTGAAGAAAGTCGAGTTTTTCAGAGCAGTGGCTGGCTCAGTCCTCACCCGTTTGCAGAATCAGCCAATGAAAATGCATTAAAACCACCTCAAACAGCTACAACCATCACTGGCTTGGAACCATACACCAAGTATGAATTTAGAGTCTTAGCTGTGAATATGGCCGGCAGTGTGTCTTCTGCCTGGATCTCAGAAAGAACAGGGGAATCAGGTAAAGATCAGTGCTTTGAGTTCTACTTTTAAAAGTAGAATGAATGAAAGTGCCGCTTCAAATTAAAGTCAACAGTGCTAAAGTACATTTTAAAAAGCAAAGATATAAACTTCCATAGGCCAAGGAAAATGTTAATGTATGGGTTGGTTACATAAAGAACTCAAGGTCATAAAGTACTTGAAGTAAGTTTTAGGGGAAAAAAGTAAATGCTTTAGTTATTAATTCATGGGTGAAAATGGCTTAACTATATAGTCTTTTGGGAATGTTTGTCAAAAATAGCAGTTGGTTTCCAGGCCTGAAGTGGGATGGCCACATGTCTGTCTTGCTCCATATTCAGTATAATTTATGTTCAGTGAAGGATGGAACCAATTTCACAAATCTGTGGTTTTTTTTTTAAATGTATCTTTCCAAACCAAATAGTTTGGGTGCTAGATTATATATAATGACAGAATCCTGGGCATCAAAATCTATAATTCACAAGTGTGCTTATAGGCAGTTGGCTTTGTGATAAGGAAGGAAAGCAAAGTTTTAAATTTTCTTAAGGTATCTTCATTCAGGCAAATGAGATGTTTTTAATCTTCCACCTTATTCTTTATAAACACTTCACTTCAAATTTCATGAGCCTTGAAAAAATATGCTTTTGTTTGTTATGCTTTGAATCCATAGCTATCCGAAGAAATCCAAGTCCTGATCGAAATTTGATCTATTACGAGTGTGGAGGATGAGGGTAGCTTTAGGTTGATGTCCAAGGGAATCATTTCATGAATAAAATGTGCATAGTGCTTGAGCATCTCTTAATGACTACCAGCCATCTTGGACAAATAATAGTGCCATGATAGCACAAGTGATGAGGCATGGCATTGTGGAAGGGGACAATCAAGGTCAAAAATGAAAAGTAATGAGTGAAACTGCAGTACTGGACTCTCATAATCTTATGGGTCACTGGCTAATGAAAGTGCGATGAGTTCCTTTGATAATACACCTTTGGTTAGCACATTTAAAATCCATATTAAGATCTCAAGGATGGCGGGGGGAAATGTCTGTGTGTGTGTGTGTACCCTGAACATTTTAATAGAGATTTATGGAAAACTTTGAGAATTTATTTGGGGTTATTTAGGATGTTTCAGATTTACCTCTTTCTGAAGAATAATATTCTCCCAGCTGCATTGGGTTGGCTCAGTGAAATATTTCCTTACCTGAGAAACCCAGTACATCACTATGTATGGTTCTAAATTCTGTGGACTGAGACATATTCTATTTCTTTGACTTCTTTCAAATACTCATAAGACCTGTAGTTTCCTACCCAATCATCCACTAGTTATGTTTATGAACACAAGAAAATTCATATAAGATTTTTGTTTTGTAAATGGAAACTATCTTAGCTGGTAATATGAAGAGGAGAACATACATGCGGATAACATTTTAAAAAGTGAATACCTTTTATATACACCAGTATATTCTTTGATTTTTTTTTTCAAATCAGAATATTTTATAAGGTACGGGGCATATCAGAAACTACAATAAATGTGTGATTTCAGTTTAAAAACTTACAGGGACAGCACTCATTGATTTGATGATGTTGTTATTGTTGTCGTTGATAGCACCTGTCTTCATGACCCCGCCATCCGTCCTTCCCCTCTCATCGTACTCTCTTAATGTCTCCTGGGAGAAGCCAGCAGATAATGTTACAAGAGGAAAAGTTTTGAGATATAACATCAATATGATTTCTGAACAATCACCTCAAAAATCTATTCCAGTGGTGTTCTCACAGGTATTGTTATTTTTAACTAATGTTCTTTCAGAATTGACGTATGGCTTCATTTTGACATTTTTCGAGTTTGCAGAATTCTGTGACAGAATTCTCTCTATTCATTCATTAAATGGGGCATTTCGTTTCTTAATATAACACTGTGTATGAGGCTCTCTCTATGTATATATATCACTTCTTTTTTCTTATACGAATACATATTGAAACAAAGGTGGTATAATTTGTTTCATAAAACCTGCTTTTTCTGCTTATCATATGTCCTTAAATATTTTGCAAGAAGTTGACTTTAAGTAGCTGTGTATTATCCTGTCTTTTAGACACACAATGATGTATTTAACCGATCTGGAGTTAGTTAATATTTATATCACATTAATTCTTTTATAATAATCTTAACATTGATAAAAATCTCTTAACATGTACGTTTTGTGTATATTTCTATTTTCTTAGAAAAAAATCTGAAGAACGAAATTTATCATGGCTCATAACAAAAGTTATGAATATGTTCAAGGTTTTGGGTGTATAATTACATACTGCTTTCTGGTAATTCATACTGCAGCAGGCAGTAATGAGAATAAGAATCATGGCTAACAAATACTGAGACTTTGCTGTGCCCATGGACTAAATCATTTATGTACATAACGATCCCAGAGGATGAGAAGCTCTTGTTCTCTCCAGTTTACACTTGTGGCTGATATGCCTTTTACTGCTTTTTCCCAGCATGGGGGTGGTCAGTGACAGAGGCTGGCAGCTATTGACTGAACAAGTCATTGTGTGTACCTGGGTGTTTAGTGCCTCTTCTGAGAGAGATGCTCTTTGGCGGGCATTAACATAAGACAAAAAGATCTTTACATTTTATGCCTCCTCCCATAGATCGAGCCACATCCTTCTTTCATAGTCTTCCTGGTTCCTGATCTTTCAATCTTCCTTCTTTTGTGCCCATGACCAATACATCCAAGCCACTTACTTCCCTATCGTCCAGGTATATTTTATCTTGAGACACTTCTCTTTCCACACAAAATGGATGACCACGTGCACTGCCTGAAGCCCTGCCCATGGAGAGGATTTCTTCTCAGTGCTGTTTTTTGGGACTAGCCCTGAGAAGGGTTACAGAGCATCAGCCACCCATTTTTCACTTGTGAGCACATACTAAGAACTAAACTCTGCTTTTCCCCCATTCTTTCAGCCCTTGAGGGACCTCCCGTGGGCCATGGGTATGAGACACCAGTGTACAAATGGTGGATGACATGGGCGTCTGGACCACCTGCTTGTACTACATGTTGTGGCTTTTGGCTCTGCTTATACCCAACCCCAGATACCCACTTTATTTTATAATAAATTTCTGTTGGGCCCACTAGAGCTTGCTGTGGGCTGTCAGTACTGTACCTGTGACCTCTGATGAGGTCCTCATTGCCAGCCTGCTCGTGGATGACCCAGATCCAAAATATCATTTTAGAGTCTCTTTCATAGGGCCACTCCTGGTAGCACTATCTTAGGTTAGATTCCTGGGGAAATAGACTCTCTTGGCAGAAGACTTGAGTGAAGGAGGTTTATTGGGAAGTGCTTTCAGAAACAGTGTGCATAAAGTGGTAAGGGATGTGGGATTGAGGAGAATAAGAAGCCAAACTGTGGTGCAATAATAAAAAAGGCCTCTGCTGATCCTGTGGGTAGTTCTAGAGCTGAAATGACCCTCTCAGGTTGTCCTATATTAAGAGGCCAGACCTTTGTACCCTAGTGTATTCATTTCCTAGGGTTACTATAACAAGTTATCATAAACTGAGTGGCTTAAAATAACAAAAATTGAGGTGTCGGCGGGGCTATGCTCCTTGCATAAGCTCTAGTAGACCATCATTTCCTGCCTCGTATAGCTTCCCATGGCTGCTGATATTCCTTGGCTTGTGGCAATATAACACCAATCTCTGCCTCTGTTTTCACATGGCCTTATCTGCGTCTTTGTCTCCTCTCTGTCTGTATGTCTCATTTCTCTTCTAAATACACCAGTCATTGGATTTAAGGCTAACCCTAAATCCAGGATGACTCAACTAATTCCATCTACAAAGACACTATTTCCAAATAAGGTTTCATTCTGAGGTTCTGGGTAGACAATTTTTGGGAGACACTATTCAATCCACTACTAATAGGTTTGTCATTTTTTTCTAAGTATTTTTAGTGGACAGAACTCAAATACAACACAAAATTTTATTTTGCATACTAGACTGAGAATAAGAGCCAATAAATAATTTATAATTCCTTGTACTTTTCCATTAATGTGGATATGTGTTGACTTACTCGCAACTATCTTGTGATAAAAAGATACCTAGTATAAAATATGCCTTTCAACTGAAACAATTTAGTCTACCAATCTAGTAAATTATAGGATTTAAGGTAAATTTACAGTTATAATTGTAGTTTGATCTTGTCATGTTTTATGCTGTATTTATCCTTGAAGTTTTGTTTTGTTGTTCTTTTTACTATTCTTTCGCTTTATAAACTATTCTTTCCTTGTGAAACATGATTTCAATTCAACTATTACTTGCATATAGTAGATATTCTATTCCAAGAAACAAAAACATGGGAAAATAACATAGTTTGTAAAAATATAGTTTTAGAAGTCTACTTGTTTATTTGTATCCCACTTCTCCCAGTTATTAGCCATAGCATACTTCTCTGTGCTTCAGATTTTACTCATCTGTGAAATGGGAAAACAATTTCTGCTTACCTATGTGGCTTATGTGGAACTTAAAGAGCTTAATAAATACTGACACCATTATTATTGGTGATTATTATTAATGGGATAGGACCACATTACACATTATAAACTGGCAATCATTCAGTGGGGCAGGAAAATTAATCTTTTTTTGTTGTTGTTGTTACTTAAAAGGCCTTTCATTGTGGCTGAATTGACATAAGGATATAGATATGTCATTTTATTCTCTTTTTTGCACTCTGTCTCCACCACAAATAGCTATTTTCCTAATCATATGTTCAAGGAAGTGAAATTAAAAGTCAAAGTCAAATTTTTCGCCTTCTAAATAATTAAATTTATATCCAAACTGACCTGAGTGTATCTTGATATAATCGTAGTAAATAAATAGCCAAAATTCTTAAGGAAAGTCCACTGTAAAAATAACTGTTAAGGATTCTTTGCCTAAGAATATGACAGGAAAAATATACAGAATTGGTGTCAATATCAGTGTAGGATTTCAAGCTTTTTCCTATCCCTTCAAAGATTTATTTCATGGAAAACTTTGAATTAGATAAATCTTATAAGACATATAAATCGACTATGTACATGAAAAGACAAAGGTATCTGAGTGATAATTTTATGTGCTCCAAGGAATGGGGCAAATAATGTCTTTTTAAAATCATGTAATTTATAAAAACTATAGAGAATTAAAAGCCCATCAAAATTAATATTAGTTTAGATTTTCTATTTTTCACATTTCATGTGTTCTTGCTACAAAGAATAATTTGTTTAAAAATGTATTCAACTTAAATTAAGTAAGATGTATCTTAATGTATTTTATCCTAAAAACAATTTCATTTTCTAAAAATTTACATTTAATTCCACCAAAATTATTCTAAATAGGATGAATTTTATCATAATATTAAGTAAATTTAACTCATTTCTAAGTTTTATTTTGTTTAGGAAATTTTAAATCACATGCAAGGCTGGGTGCGGTGGCTCACGCCTGTAATCCTAGCACTCTGAGAAGCTGAGGCGGGTGGATCGCTCAAGGTCAGGTGTTCGAGACCAGCCTGGGCAAGAGCGAGACCCCGTCTCTACTAAAAAAAAAAAAAAATAGAAAGAAATGATCTGGACAACTAAAAA